AATATTGAGAGAGAGAGAGAGGAAAGGATTAGAGGGAGAAAGAGAGGGAAGGGGGAGCTGCCATTTTAAAATTTAAATTCAAAGAAGAGTGACAATCAATAGATGGTGATAATTGGTAATGTATGGTCACACAATGTAATGGCTACAATGTGAATGACATGACAAGTAGAACTAATAAAATAATAAACAGACAATACATGACTGATAAGATGTGTACATACATGAATGCATGACAGTACATCAGGTCAGGCTTAATAACTATTAATTAACTTAAACCACACCCTCACAATACATGTACATGCACATCCAGACGTCAAAGTATCAGCTATGACTTGGTGGTATTGTAGGATCCTTTGCCATTATAATTGTGTTTTTGTTTTTTTAAATGCCTATCTCACTTTTAAGACTAAATAGAGTCAGGCCTAGCCCTTGGTTACACAGAGCTATGGCTCTTCGAACAATACATGGAAATGAATTTAAGGAGACAACACAATGAAAACATTACATTGATGCATACACATACACAACAATAAAACACAGAAAAATATTCTCTCTCTCTTTCTCTCAATTTACATGTAAAAAGTATCAATAATATACAAGGTACATACACACAATTATAAAAAATTATTACTATTAGTATTTTTGTCTCTTACCTGACAGTGTGGAGTTCTCTCTCTCTCTTTCTCGCTCAGTCGCGATCCACTCAATAGAAATACAATCAAATGGTCGATCTCCTACAAAGAAAAACAGAGTATGTAACCCATAGAGTGGCGCTAAGTGGAGAGAAGCAAGATAGTTATAAAGAGAGAGAGAGGGAGAGATGACTTACAGAAATTATAAAGGAACGATGATTAAAGTCTGATGTGACTGTTTCTAAGCAGCCATTCCAATGAAAGAAAGACACAGAGGAAAAGGAAGGTGGAGAGCTGGAGGAGGAGAGTAGGGAGGAGAGGAGAGCTGAGCAGAAAGATGAGCGTGCAGCTAATTTTAATTTACGTGACCGGTGTGCGTGGGCGACAAACCCCGCCCATTTCAATGTTTTACCGCGTGACAAAATTTTTTAAAACAAAGGAAAAAACAATTATTATTGTTGTTATTGATACTAAAATTATTCATTTCTCCCCACTTGACAGGTAATTTCTGACTTTCAAATTAGTAACGTACTGGTCGCCAAAAAATAAAGACATAGATTCATCATACGCCTTTGTCGGTAAAAAACTACAGGAAATAAAAGCCAAAATGACACACGCAAAATTTTTAGAAACCACTCACAATTTAACTAAGTTTCCCCAGTACAAAAATGATGGCAAGTGAATGCAAAACTTTTTCTCGCACGTGGCATTCACAGTTTTCATTGCAACGTCCTTAGGGTCAAGAGGAGGTAAGTAAGAAGTCAGGGTATTAGAGTAGGAAAGCATTCCGGTAGAAATATAATAAGGAAAAACAGCCGTCACAGAAACTCCGTTCTTCCCGGCCAGTCGTAGCTCCTTCCTTAGAGTCTCACTGAAAGAAAGAACAGCTGCTTTAGAGGCTGAATAATCCCAGAGTCTAGGCATACCCTCGTATGATACTATTGAACAGATATTGACAACGTAGCCGTAATTATTCTGTAGCATCCATGGGAGGAAAGACTTCACTGTCTACAACAATAAAAAAGGAATTAACGACTGAAAAATTTATCATTATTATTATCATGTACATGTACATGTACACACTTACCCGATAATAAGCTAGCGTGTTAATTTTAAACGTAAGATCAACTTGAGCATCGTCGGAATCCATTATGCTCTTACCGAACATTATGCCGGCATTGTTAACGAGTACAGAGACATTACCCACTTCTTCCCTCACTCTCTCTGCCCCTTTCTCTATCTCCTCTCTTTTAGACACATCCACAACATAACCAAAGGCCTCACAGCCTCTGGCAGTTATTTCTGATACAGTCTCCCTCAGTTTCTCTTGATTAATATCCCAGAGGACTATAGTGGCGCCTGCTGACGAGAAAAGAAAAGCCAGTTCCCTCCCTAGTCCCTGTGCTCCCCCGGTTATAAGGACAATGTCACAGGAGAAGTCTGGTGAATGCTTCTTACGGCAGAGTCGAAGTAACGGAGATACCATGCTCCATAGCACGAGGCCTAGGATATTTGCTAGCTGTAGGAGGCCGAGGATAATAGCTGAAAGAGACACAGAGGCCATAATTGTAAATAGAATTGGGAAAAAGGGCCTAAAGGGGAGAGAATCTCTAAATTTTACAAGTTTAATTAGCCAAAAGGGTGTGAGGGGTGTGGCGGGGTTTCTAGAAGCCCCGCCCACCAAATCTTACAGTGAAAATGTTCAAATTCATTTCTCTTATTTTAAGACTGTTCCTTTACACTGTTCAAGGATTCCTGGGCCTCCTTTGGGGCCTAATAAAGAGAAAAGATCCCCCAAACTTCTCCTGTGACATTGTCCTTATAACCGGGGGAGCACAGGGACTAGGGAGGGAACTGGCTCTTCTTTTCTCGTCAGCAGGCGCCACTATAGTCCTCTGGGATATTAATCAAGAGAAACTGAGGGAGACTGTATCAGAAATAACTGCTAGAGGCTGTGAGGCCTTTGGTTATGTTGTGGATGTGTCTAAAAGAGAAGAGATTGAAGAAGGGGCAGAGAGAGTGAGAGAAGAAGTGGGTAATGTCTCCGTACTCGTTAACAATGCCGGCGTGTTGCCGGGAAAACTCGTAAAAGAATTCAAAGAGGGAGAGTTTGAAAAGACGATAACAGTTAATTTTCTATCACATTATTGGGTAAGTGAATAGCATCACATGACAATGAAGTCATGTGACGTTAAATATCTCCTTTATCTCTATAGACAATCAAATCATTCCTTCCCTGGATGATTGAAAATGATTACGGACATATCGTAGAAATGGCTTCCTTTGGTTCGTTCTCAGGAGGCCCTCTTGTCTCCGACTACAATTCATCCAAAGCAGCTGTGTATAATTTCTCGGAGAGCCTACACTACGAGTTACAACTAACGGGAAAAAAAGGAGTAAAAGTAACATGTGTATGTCCATGGGAGATGGACACTGGTTTTATCCCTGGACGAGTGAAAGATTTCTTTTCCGGAGCTGGGATTAAGAAACTATCGGTTGGTTATGTAGCGGCGGAAACATTAGCAGCTGTCTGTGACGGAAAGTTTATGATCATGCTACCTAAACGATATGTCGTTTCAGCTGTGCTTGCTTTGTAAGTTGTGATAATGGACATGGTGTTGTATTGCTCTGTAAAGCTAAAAAAATTGTGGAGTATTAAAATTAAGTGTATATAACCAGATTTTTGAAAAATTTGTTGAAGTTTTGACCACATGCATTGCCATAGACTACACTTGGGGAGTAAAATGAATTAATGGAGGGAAGCTCCTTTTATCAAAATTTTAGCAGACATTAGAACTAGACATTATGATGTAATGTATAGATACTATTTTTATCCTTCTCTCTTTTCTATTCTCAGTCTCTCGCCTAGAAAGATCAAGGACACTGTAGTGGGTACCTATGGATACTTGAAAGAGGAGGAGAGGATGGAGAACGAAGAAGAATTAACTAATGTCATCCATTATAAGGTTAGTATAATAATAATAATAATAATAATAATAAAATAATCTTTATTTTTATAGAAATCATAAACCTGTGGAGACAGCAAATCAGTCAAAACAAACAAACAATTAAAAATTAAAACAATAATAATAATAATAATTTGAAAATCAAAAAATAACAATAGTACTATAATAATAATAATAATAGTAACAATTTTATTGATTGGTTGAATTCGTTAATAGCATTTTACAAACTTGTGATTCAAGAAGACAGAGAAAGAGAAGATGGAGTGATCCTGTGATACTATTAACAATATGTTCACATTATTCAGTATACAAAACTGAGTCTGGTCTCTTCAAGTTTGCTCTCCTTTGCTCGATACGTAGGCATTTGGGACAGTCTGACTTTAACTTTGGCTTACAAGGATCATGAAAAACAGACCTACATTCAAGACACTGAGAGAGAGAAAGAGAATCAGAAAATGGAGAGAGAAAAGATATAATATATGTTATTAATTAATAAGGAAGTGATTCTAACTTGATATGTCCCTCTATCAAATGGGTAGAGGATCTCGTCTTTCTGACACACTTCACAGATAAAACCTTTCTGCGAGCAATACTGCAATGAGAGAAGACCACGCCCACATATATTAATAATTAATTAAAAACTTACGGGACAATTGCGTATGTGTTTCTTGCAATTTTTTGCAATTTTCCTTAATTTGGAGACTAGGGAGCCGGTGTATACGTGATATAGGTCCTGGAATGTCACATGATAGTCACATGACCAATCATTAGTAATAGATTCATACTAACCTTTACTGAGTAAAAGTGAATGTGCTCATAAAAATGTGACGATCTGACTCTATTTTTTTTCAAAAAAGAGGATTATTTTTAATGATTACTTTTTATTAAAATATTTATAATCATGCTTGCGCTTACCTCTTTTTGAATTCTTCAACAAAAATCGGATCCTTGCACGTTAAAATGTAGTCCTTTTGTAGACTGAGAGTGTGTCTTAGCATCTTAATGAAGGGAGAAAGAGACAATCAGTTAAACAGGTACAATTTTATTACATTTTCTAATACATATACATGTACTTATGTTGTGTAGAAGTTTGAGCTAATTCCAATCAATATTGGATTTTTCCCGAATTTTTTAATTTACTCCAAAATCAGGCCAAAGTCCCTGTACTATAGTACATGGTCTCTGGTCAAATTTCGCCAAAAATGAAAAGGTGAGAATTCTCAATTTTTCTAATGCTATCTGATGCATATACACGTTCTTATGTTGTGTAGAAAGTTTGAGCTGATTCCAATCAAGTTTGGATTTTTTATGATTTTTAAAAGTTGCTCCAAAATCGGACAAAAGTCCCTGTACTATAGTACAGGGATTTTAATGAAATTTCACCAAAATTGACAAGTAGAAAATTTCTCAATTTTATTACATTTTCTGATACATATACATGTTCTTATGTTGTGTAGAAAGTTTGAGCTGATTCCGATCAAAATTTGATTTTTTACAAATTTTTAAAGTTGCTCAAAAACCGGGCCAAAGTCCCTGTACTATAGTACAGGGATTTTGGCCAAATTTCACCAAAAATGAAAAGGTGAGAATTCTCCATTTTTATAACTTTATCTGATACATATACATGTTCTTATGTTGTGTAGAAAGTTTGAACTGATTCCGATCAAAATTAGATTTTTTACAAATTTTTAAAGTTGTTCAAAAACCGGGCCAAAGTCCCTGTACTATAGTACAGGGATTTTGGCCAAATTTCGCCAAAAATGAAAAGATGAGAATTCTCCATTTTTATAATGTTATCTGATGCATATACATGTAGTTATGTTGCGTAGAAAGTTTGAACTGATTCCGATCAAAATTAGATTTTTTACAAATTTTTAAAGTTACTCAAAAACCGGGCCAAAGTCCCTGTACTATAGTACAGGGATTTTGGCCAAATTTCGCCAAAATTGAAAAGATGAGAATTCTCCATTTTTATAATGTTATCTGATGCATATACATGTAGTTATGTTGTGTAGAAAGTTTGAATTGATTCCGATCAAAATTAGATTTTTTACAAATTTTTAAAGTTGCTTAAAAACCAGGCCAACGTCCCTGTACTATAGTACAGGGACCCACCAAAAATGACTATCTCTCTCTCTCTTACTCTAGTCTCCTCCAGTTCAGGTATATAGTGATAAAGTGCATTATTAGTCTCGTCCACATTCAGTACTGGCATGGTCTCGATGCTATCGAGAAACTCTGCGCTCCGTAGACAGACCCGGTGCTTCCTAAAGTCCCAGTTCATGAGTATCCTAGCCGGTATCAGCCTCTCTTCGTCAAGATGACACTCGTAGCAATAATACCCGCCGTCAAACTTGCATAATTTAGCTTCGCCAAACACTGGAAAAAGTGAGAAGAATAGAGACAATTAGATGCATATTAAATATTAATTGTATAAAAAATGTTATACCTATTCCAATTGGTCTCTTGCAGCTGGCACATTGATAATCTTGTGAATCCAGCCCGTTCTCTAAACCTAGCTTTGTTAAATGACTAGTTAGCGTATCGACATGCTGTAGAAAAGAAAATATAATAATAAATAATAATAGTTTTGAAAAAATAAATTACTTCTTTAGTCCTGACGTTCATAGTATCGTCGGCATTAACAATTTCAAAGTTCATTTCTTGTGCTAGCGTCATGTCGTCCATATTTATCTCGACTGCCGAGTCTTCATCTCCTCCCTCCTCCTCCTCTACCTCCCCCACCGGCCGTGGTACATTTCTCTTCCTGATGCTATCGTATCCATAGCGACTGAAGGGGGCGTCGTCCTTGTTCTTCCCGGCATAGCTATAAAGCATACTATTGTAACTTCTGTTGGGCGAGTTTGGGGACTTGGCTCTTAACCTAACAGTTGCTCCATGAGAACTGGTACTGGGTGTGCCTGAGAAAGAATAATAATAATAATAATAATAATAATAATAATAATAATAAAGTGTTTATTTTCAATTTATAATGTGGTCAGTTCATACTCTGAATGTCTTCTTCTTTTTGTAGTAAGTCCTCATCAGTGAGGTTCTCTCTGCTCTTCTTAAGGTTTGAGTATCTAGCCATTGCTAGTCCTACCACAGCGTCACCCATTAGGAAGTCAGAGGGAGGAGGACTAACACGATCGCCCTCTGATGAAACTGAAGGGTCTATTGAGAAGGAGGGAGAGAGAGAAAGTAGAAATTAAAAAATAAAGGTGCGTAAAAATAAAGGTTTATTAATTGCTAAATGTACACAATTTCCTTTTCTCTTTCTCTTCTCCCTCTCTTATCTCTTTTTTCCTTTCTCTCTCACTTTTTCCTCTTTTATTCTTTCCTTGTATTGGTGGATTGATTGGTTGGTATATTCCTGCCAGCTCAAGTACCTGAGCCTCCCAAGAGGTGAGTCTCGTGCTACTAAAGTCATACTCAAACTCAAATACTTCCAAACCTAACGAAAACAGGAACGAAAGTATGGAATAGTGTTGCAATAAAATACTGATAGAAAAAACATCATTAATATCATGTTACTAATAATAGTATCATGTATGATGTCATTGGTATTAGAACTATAGCTATTATTATTATTATTGATGCTCAAATCTGCAATATTGGGACTACATGTACAATGGAAAATGCTTCACTAAGCAAGTGGGAGTGAAGTGTTACTAAATTAAAATAATAATAATAATAATATTATTATTATTTACGACAGCTATTGCAGCTCCATGATGTACCTCGCAGTAATGTTTGAATTATTTCTGAACGTTCTGTATCTTTAAGAACAGCCTCTGGACCGTAATGAGGACTAGAAATAGAAAGAAAGCAAGCAAAAATGAAATATAGCTTCTAACAGATCATTCTCTCCTCCTTTCCTCTCTCTCTCTCTTTTTCCTTACCCTAGTAGTCCAGGATGTTTCTGTATGTCAGAGAGAAATGAAAATAGAAGACCCTTCACTAGCATGAGTCTTACCCACGACTATAAAATGATGAGTATTACATTATACATGTACATAATGGCATGTGCCATAAATGTATAATGAAATATGCCTACCCTGCATTTTTTGATGTCGGATTCTGAATTCCGTAGTGCTAGTAATTGAGTTTTAATTTCGTCTGAAACTAACGGAGAAATGCAAGACCAAAAACTCTAAAAGATACAGTATATCGTTAGAAACGGATTGTGTATGATTTACAGGCTCAGGTAGGTCTGCCATTGGCTCAGAGCTAACTTTTTCTCTCCATAATACACCCTATAATAATAACAACAATAATAATGATAATAATAATAATAATGATGATGATGATGATGATAATAATAATAATGATAATAATAACTTACTCTTTTATCTTTCAGTTCGTGTAAGAAAATGGCTTCCAATATCTCACAAAGCTGAATGGCACCAAAATGAACCCTAAAAAATTTAGTTTATATAATAATTCTCAAATCATAAAAGTTATGGCTCAAATGCAAACTTCAAACACCTCCAAATATCAATAGTGGGTGTGGTCACTCAGACATGGCGAACAATCGTGTACATGTACATGTAACGAGTTCACTGCTTACCCTTTGACTAGTTTAGTTCTCACGTGATCTTCTTGAATCTAAAAACAATAATAATTATTATTATTATCACGTACACGATACTCTTTCTTCCCCTACCACTTTGATTGTGCTTGATAATTCGTTGCACAATCTCCTTCTCTCGTCCGCCCTCCTTTTCTTATCAACTAAACTACTAGCAGTCCCTCTCCTGGCCGCCATTCTCTCCTTTAACTAAAGGAAAGCAACAGAAAACTTAAGAAAAGAGAAACGAAAAGCTACCAGTGCTTGCAGCAAAAGGGGTGGGGCTACTATTAATAGGCGTGGCTAACACTAATGAATATTTAATTAGTTCAATTATTTTTGCTCTGCAAAAATGTCATTTATGTACATTTATTTTTCTGTAAAATTAGTTCTGGCGGTCCTTGCAACAGAAGAACCTTATTTTACAATCTTCTCCCCCAGTTATGAATGCAGGGACCAATGGACTGTGACAGAGAGTTCTAACAGGACCTTGATGAGCTGAGAGAGAGAGAAAGAGAGGGGGGAAGAGAGAGGGGGGGGGAGAGAGAGGGTGTATGTATATTCAAAATAATTAAATAAAACCAGCTGGAACTATTCATCAACTAACAAGTGAATAATGGTTTGTATGACTGAGTTGTCCTTGTCTCCCAACAGAATATCATATTTTGATGTTCTTCTCCCATCAGTACTACAGACAATACAATACAATACAATCATACCATGGAGACTAGCAATGATCAGCTTACCATAATCTTCAGTGTGAGAGAATACTGCCGTGGGTAAGAACTGGGGCTTACTGATTTTATTAGGTTTGTAATTATTGAGACAATTGCCTGGAGAGAGAGAGAGAGAGAGAGAGAGAGAGAGAGAGAGAGAGAGAGAGAGAGAGAGAGAGAGAGAGAGAGAGAGAGAGAGAGAGAGAGGGAAAGAGAGAAGTCAATAGCCCCCTTATCCCCATAAATATATGTACATTTATGTACACAAGTACCTGATGATAGTTCCCATAATCGAGCGTATCCATCCATTCCACTAGTCAAAACAAACTACATGCCACACAATGGTCATCATAGCAACCAACAATAAACAATAAACTCCTCACCTTTGAATTCTTTGACAGTCTTGCTGAACCCACCTAGGAAATAAAGATTGCATCATCGATATTTTAAAGGGGACTTACTGGCTCTCCACCATGAGCAGATTTGAACGTATTAATGCAACGATTACTGACACCATCCCACACCTGATAAAGAAAAGAAAAAAAAACAATAAAACTAGTCTACCTTTGTTTTATAATTTTTTCTTCTGTAGCAATCTTTGGTACAACTTTAAGCCGAAAATTTGCAATTTTTAAAACTCAATCCAATGTCACAAAAATTTTAAAAGCATACCCACACGTTTTAATTACTTTTAAGCTGCCGTCACTGCTAGCTGTCACATACATCTTCCCATCCACTGAATAATGTACCTAGAGTCACATGAGAGTCACATGACATAGAGGGAAGATCCCATACCGAGTTAATAGATGAGGAGTGCTGATCTCTGGCATCAGACGACACAAAACATTGAAACGTGTTAGCATCATATAATCTCACTAAATAAATAAATATTAAATAAATTTGTTACTAAAAATTAATGTTAATTCTGGTAAAATTAGTACTATTGCCACATGTACCATTATCTTAATAGCACATTAACTGTGATTATCATTACACTATAATTACAAATTATAAATCAATAAAATATTTGTATATATTTCTCTCACATGTGCTTTGCTCAGTCCCCACTAATATATAATCCCCTGACGGATGAAAAGTTAAGCACCTTACGCTAGCCACTTCAATCACAGACCTATAAGCTCTCTTCACTGAGGGTTTCGAATAATCGAAGAACTTTATAAAATTATCTCGACTCCCTGAAGCTAATACTGATACGGTCGGATGAAACGAGAGGGAGAGAATAGCGTCTGAGTGATCATAGAGGGTTCTAATGACAGGGTGAGGGTCTTGCTGGCCGACAGTACTTTTAGTGGCCATTCGATCAACGTCTAGTATCCTAATGGACATATCAGCAGAGCCTGTTGCTACCAGTCTACCTGTAACGATTACGCAATGATTGTTCTATTATTAGTAACTAATAAAGCTATTTTTAGTAACAATAAGGACATGAATGATGTTGCATAGTGTTAAATATCATAAATAGATTAAATGAATGGAAATGCATTAATTATGATGTAATAATGATGTCATTACCGTCGTGGCTAAAATTAGAACAGAGGACAGGTCCTTTATGCGACGTTACATAGCCTAACTCGTGTCTATGGGCAGGAGGGGACATAATCTTCTCTGTAACGAGATACAATTATTATTCATTATTAATAATTAATTATTACCGTCACTCTCAAATTCCAAGTCCATGATGCCCCGCCCACTAATGTGTGACAATACGTCACTGTGATCCGGCTTACTAGCTGTTAACAAAGGGTTAAAAATAAAGAAGGAATTATCGTAACTTTTGGTATATATACATAATTCTACAATTTTTAATTTTAATACTTGCAATTTCATTCCAACAGTAAAAATAGCAATTAATAGAACATGTAAATATAGTTTGTTCTTGTCTTCCTTACCTTCTCCCTCCATTTGGTTCCCTAGTCTCACAAGATGAGATAGACGAGATGATGGGGCGCAGGGAGGGTAGGCACTGAAGTTACGAGCTAAATTAGAAGCAGCAGATTCGTAACCATCATAACGTAACTGACTAGTGACACATAAGATATATTTGATGGATTATTCTTTACCTAACTATCAGTCTGTACAGGTGTTCTCTTTCCTTTACTGAACTGGTTGCCTCCATATTGTCGCACGTGGGCAATTTATTTTAAATTTTTAACATTAATTTTTATTAACAACTAAAGATGTAGCTATGTCACTCTTGGTTATACCAATTCTCACAACTGTCAGTATAATTAAATTGCCACAATGATAAGTAAATGTTTAAAGCTTGTTACAGTAATAAAACAAAATAGAGAACTATGATAGCATAATCAGCAATTTAGGCTTAGCAACTACAAGAAAAGACTAAATAGAAAAACAACTTTAAGATAGTAATGAAATCTATTTCAGCATAGTTAATGTATTAGGTTAATAGTCTTCTTCATCACTTTGATCACTTATCGAACCACCATGCACAAATCTATGCGCCACAGCCCCACCCATTATAGGACCTATGACAGGAGATCCAATAGCTGCAACAGTTCCAATAGCTGCTCCTCCAACTGCTCCTCCTACCGTACCTGCTGTACCTCCTGCAACAGAACCAGCTTTGGAGTCAGGTAAAACAACACCTGCTACTCCCCCACCAACAGCACCAATAATAGGGCCTGAAACAGGTCCTGTTAGGAGGCCTGCTGTAGAAGCTACAGTCCCGCCAAGAAATACAAAAGGGCTCAGTGCTGCTTTGGCTGCTTTCTTCCACCTTGTGTCTGCTGCAATGATAACAGCTGGTCCACTTGCACCATCAGCATTCACTCCTGATATAAGGAAAATGTAATCTGTATCTGACTTCAGATTTGTAGCTCTTGCAGAGAATTTATTTTTTTGAACCTTGATTGCCAAAAAGTATACATCAACTTGATCCAGGTCTTTTTTTCTTTTGTATCTTATCAGGTAATGGTCAACAAACTTTTCACCAAGCTTTGGCTCTTCCCAACGCAGCTTTATCATGCTTGAGGTGTAGTTAGATGATCGCCTCACCTCAGTTGGTGCTCCTGGAACTGCTGGAGGAACTTCTACTGTGTCACTTGGCTTGCTCTCTCCAAATTTATTTATGAAGATAATATGAAGACGATGGTGTGCATATGGGGAACATTTTGTTAGGGTGACAGTATGAACATAAGCATCTGGGTTTCCAGGTATCTGAAGCTTTTCTGATATCCATTCTCCTCCATTTTCCTTATCACAATGCTGGCACACTACTTCAGTTACATGATTTGTGTAGGTTTTTGGAATGGCAACCTTTACCTTAACATCACCAGTGCCAGGCTCAGAAGCAACAACTGGTTTGTCTGGTTTACCAAGAATGCCTGTATCTAAACATATGTCAGTAGACTCACTCCATTCACCCAGACCTTTTGCATTAACTGCACGAACTTGAAATGAGTAGGATTTTCCTGGTTTGAGGGGAGGATTCATTCTCTCTGGTTCTAGGGTGGCGTAGTCACACAGCTTGCCACTTCTTTTATCTCTTTTCAAACGATAAAACCACTTCTCATGGTTTATACTGATGTGGTATTCATTCAATTCTTCTTGATTATTTCTGCGATCGTTCACTTTGATGTGCAGTTGAGGACCTTCCTGGTCTACGTGAGGTTCATCAACTATACTAGGCAATTCAAGTTGATACGAATCATCAGATGATGCAGGGTAGAATCCAGAATTTTGAGGCAACTTATTCCATTTCACCTGGGCGTAAATGGCATGTAAAGCATGGCTATTAATCTGCCTATAAACTTTTTTAAGAAGATCACAAAGCTCTTTCAAATTCTCAGAATTACTCTTAGTGTATGCTTTCACAAACCGCTTCACATTCCCTTCCTTCTTTATTGTTTCACACTGCATTGCATACCTCTCCAGTTTGCTATAGCTCTCATCAATTATTTTCTTCATTTCCTCGGGAACACCAGAATCATCATATCTGTCCAGTAAGTCTTGAGTGTCAACGATCGTATTACAAATCTCTTCTATGGTGTCATTTTCAGTACGCATACGCTCCATTGTAGAATATAAAGTAGAAAGCAAGTTTAGAAATGTCTTTAAGCATTCAAAACCCTCAAAAAATAATTTGGGTACTGCTACGACAGCCATTTTGATGACCAAAGACAGCTACCTCAACAGCTACAACACCGCTATCTATGGCAACTATGTACCGGTACACAGAACACTCATAGAATTATCACATGATTCCATAGATTACAATAGATTACATTATTATGAATGCAGCCTCATAGTATAGCTGTAATCAACATACAGATGTATCTGATTAAGATTACAAAAGTGCATGAAAACACAAACCTGACTTGATTTAATTGTAATAATTAATATATAAGTCCCACTATTGTAATTGTTAAAATCTAAACATTCTAGCTAGTAAAGCTGCGATTGTTCTTTGAGTGTCTCCTCCACACTCCCTCAATCCTGCAATGGCTTGTTCTCTTGTAAACCCAGCACTCATTACCCTCTGTATGTCATCCTCAGGGACCAACTGAGGGGGAGGAGAAGGAGGAGGAGCCTCACCAGTCCTCTCCTGATACTCTTGTTCTGATTGCTGTATCAACGAGGCTATCTCTCTGTCTTCATCTTCAATGATTCCTCTCTATGAAAGAGGACATGTAAATTCACATAATGTACATGGTTACACATATATAATGTGCATATACCTCTTCTTGCTTATGTTGTGCCATGGAGAGTTCCTCAACTTCTTTTTCAGACAAGAAGTGTGTCTCAGCTCCAGTGGTACCAACCCTCAGGACACCTTTACTCAAATCAACAATACACTGCATGTACATGAAGAGAAAAGAGAGAGAGAATACTTAAAATAATACTTGAACAAGCTACTTTATTTGCAATATTTGCTCATTCTTCATAAACTTTATCTTTCCTTGTGATTTATGTAAATTATATTCATGTAACAATTAAACTCCTTTACTAGGCCTCTTCTCGCTCTCTTTCACTCCCTTTCTCTCTTACTTGATGTCTCTTAAGCATATCCAGTCCCAGTATAAGCTCATGACTCTGATCCTCCAGTACCCTGAAGGAAGAAGCAAGATAATCCTGTCCAACCTGTACCTGGCACATGTGCACTACTCCTATAATCCTTTGTCTCCCTACCCCCACGGCTATCCCTGCTCCTCTCCTATCAACTAGTCTCATTACGTTACATCTCTCGGCACATTTAGTGTTCATGATAGTCATCTGTGCTCCAGTGTCCACCATAGCCTTCACACTGACTCCATTCACTTTCACTTGTACATAAAGCATAATGACCCGACTGGTGACAATCTCTGGATTGTACTCGAGTGCAGTTTCAAAGTTCTCTCTTATGTTTCTTTGGCGAATGTTCTCGGCTAGTCTTTCCTGGTATTCTGAGCTCATTGGGTCTAATCCTTCCAACTGCTGTCTCTCTCTCTCTAGCTCCTAAAGCAATCAAGAAATACATTGAATAACTAAAAGTGTATAATGAATATGATGATAGTGTTCTGAATAAGGATTAGAATAAAGCTGGCTGCTGTGAATATTAGGAGCTTGAAATTTCACTAGTTTGGATGTTTGCAAAAATAAAATGTAATTACACAAAATATTTTGGTATTTTAATTACATGTACATGTACTAATTGCTACATGTAATAAATATTACTTATCATTAATATTTATTACAAATTTACAATTAATTCTTCTCTATGGTAAAGTATTGCCTGCTTCACTATGTTAATGTCTCCAGTGGCAATGGCTTCGGCTAACTGAGGGCTCCGCTGTCTTAGAACGCTCATCTCCTCGGGGTTTGATAGAAAATGTTGCAGGAGGGTCTCGGGGTTGAAAGATTCTGGACCCCCCGGAGTCTGGATTCCTGATAATGGGGTCAATTCCATCTCCAGACCCCCTTCAGTGGAAGGAGGTGGGGCAGCATCAGGTTGAGCTCCTTTAATAATAGAAATAAATATATAAATTAATATTAAAATGGCCAATTTATAGTAAATTTAATACATGATGCATTCATTGCATCAAATACCAAAATCAGGCCAAAGTCCCTGTACTATAGTACATGGTCTCGGGTCAAATTTCGCCAAAATTGAAAAGGAGAAAATTCTCCATTTTTATAACTTTATCTGATGCATATACATGTTCTTATGTTGTGTAGAAAGTTTGAGCCAATTCCGATCAAAATTAGATTTTTTATGAATTTTTAAAGTTGCTCCAAAAATGCCATGTACTGTATTGTAGTGCTTGTCAGCTCATGAAGCTCATGCTGTTTAGCTCATTCAGCATGCTTAGTAGGAAACCCTAATATACATACTTGATTGTGACACGCTAATAGAGCTCCAGTCAATACTTGGTAATCCCGTTCCTGTTCCAGACGGTACGGAAGTCTGGGTCTGAGTCTGGCCAGTGGTGGGCGGGGCTTGTACATCCTGACGATTAGCAACCACAACAATATCTTTATCCTGCACTCCGAGAGACGTGAGAGTATTTTCTCCTTCGGCTCTTTCCCTCAGTTCTTGCATGTTGTGATAGAGAATGAGAGATCCTTGTGGTATGTTGGTCTCCATTGATAATAGAGCCTTGAGGTCGTTTAGTGGTAGCTCCTCGCTCACATCAACTGGATAGACATTGCCATCTATAGTACTGACCACTATCTGCATTGTAAAGAGAGAGAGACAAAATAACAAACAAAATTAATAATGATGATGATTTTTTGAAAGAAACAATGCCACAAAGATGATTAATTTTTTTAATTAAACGTTTTACAAAATAATTTTGAAAATTAGATAGATCTAGTTTAGATCTACGGTCTAGCCTACCGTAGAGTAACGGAGGTAGTTTACGGACACCTAACGTTTGGAAGGATCTCACTGGTTTTACGATTCCTTGATACTGGATGTGAGGTGTCCTTTGGAAAGCAGTGGGTCTACCAGATTCTATCAAGGGTCAGGCCACGCCTGACTAATTCTATCCAAGAAGGATTTTCAGAAATTCTTGTCCTGGGGATTTTAGGAATTTTTTAAAGGCTACCGGGTGGTGGAGTTAGTTAGCGGACAGGTGAGGCAGTCTCCGGACAGTGACAGAAATCGACCTTGTAGTGAA